TTATAACGAAGGCGTAAGAGACTGGCAAAATTTGTTTGGTATACAGAGGTAATTCATTATATCGAGGTTATTGTTCATATATTGTACTATTTCTGGGGCTGAGTATGTTATACCGAGGACTTTTTTATTATAGAGGTTTGTTTTATTGAGGTTCCACTGTACTTGACTTCATTTATCAAAAATAATAAGTATTTCATTGTTTTGTCACTATAAAGGTGATAAGCTTCCTAATTGTCTACTTACTTGGATTTTGAAAGCCTCTAAAAATAGTTATACAGTTAACCAGTGAAGGATTGATTTTCCTTACATTCATCTTTTATGAAAAGGTTTGGTATGGTCTATGCAACTCTTGTGCAATATTTCTGTGATATCCCAGCATCAGATGCAGTGACATTTCTTGGCATGCCAATCTCTGGAAAAATACTTATTTATTCCATGGCACTACAGGTGATACAAACTGATTGCTACGGGATTTTTCTCAACATTACTTCATGCAACAATATATTGATAAAAGTCAAAGCTCTCTTGCTGGCAATCTCTTAACTTGTAGACAGCTCTACTTATGGCCTCTTTAAGAAGAACACTGTTTGTGCTAACTCTACTTACAAGACATTTACTAGTCGCTAGTTGTATGCTCTATCCTTCACCCTGGTGTTGGCTTTTTAAGAGGGTTTGACTTTAGCTCATAACTAGCATAGTTAGGCTAGATTCCCTTTGGTTTTGTTACATGGGAATTTTGTGCATGAAAAGTCTATTTTTTTTCCCAGGGGAGTAATTTTGTTCTTTTTTTGGTTGTTTTTGTACAAGGTTATATTTTGCCAGCCAAATCTGCAATATAATATCCACAAAAACTCCAATCCAAGTAATGTAGCCTGGCCCCTTGTTTATAGGCTGCAAACAAATAAGTTTTGACAGTCCTTAAATACCTTTCTTTTCCTCTTTTTCTCTAACAGATGTTGTTAACAAATAAAGAATCACTTTTAGCTGGTATATGTGGAATGGTGAGTGAATTAAGTTAATTTTGAAACTAACCTAGGCAAAGCCTGGGACACTCTTATGCATTCCAACTCATGATTAAAAATGTAAAACACTTTTCTCAGTTTTTCCTTAAGAATTAATATCTTTATTTCCTCACAAAAATCTGTGAAACGTAGAGTACAATAATGGGGTAGACAACCCTTGCTTTTTTTTTTAAACAGTTAATGTGGTTTCTTTCCCATAAAAAGGGTATGAGAATTCTAAAAATTATCACCAAAGGGAAAATTCTTTGATCCTTTATCAAATTCTCACAACTAATCCTAAGCTGCCGAGCAGGAGCCTGCTGGTTCAAACCCTAGGCGGACCAACACTCAGGGTGTTTGAATAACTGAGGAGAAAGTGCTGCCTTTGTAAAGACATCTACAAACCATTAGACTTTCTAGTCTTCTTGGATACGTACGATAAACCCTAGGCCCAGTCTCACAAGCCTTGAACAAATAACCATTCTTAACGAGTAGGGGATGTAGTCCTCAGTGTGGTGGTCTATCTCTCTTAGGGAAAGGGAACAATAATTTAACTGGATACCTTCAAATCTTTCGCTTCACAGAAAATGTCATTCTCTTAACCAGGCACAGGGTGTCTGCTGAAAATGGTGTATGCTTTATAAAAAAGGGAAAATAAAAATAAGGCAAACCTGTAAGTTTTACCTTTTTTTAATTGTAGGTGGCAGGAATAATCTATAGGTTTAACTTGTTCTATGTTCAGCGATGGCTTAAGCTACCAGAATTTATGACAGGTGCTGTCTCTAGAACTTTTGGCAACTTGTTTGCCTCTCAAGGGCCTACTTCTCAGCCATACGCCATGGGTGCAACAATAGAAATCCAGCGTCAACAGCAGATGGAGCACTATGAACAACAGGCTCTGAGAGTGGCAAGGATGGGAAGTCTAAGAAACAGGGTATTGCTTAAGAAACTCCATATACTGCAAATAATATTTTTACAGTCAAACCATCTGAGTTGTCAAAGTAAGCGGCCACTCCGGGGATATTTTATTTAAAAAACACCATCCGTAAAGAAATGTCAAGCAGAGTAGCCGACCAATACTAACCAAGTAGGCGACGATTTTTGCTGGCAGCCAGCTACTTTTGACAACCCTGTGCTGTATGGACACCCACTTAATACACACACAGACACCTCATCATTACAGACAGCTTGCTTTGTCTCTGGGGAAAGCCCTTACATTATCTGTAAACTCAATCCACTTAATATGGACACCATGTTAATACAGACACTTTCTATCACCCCCTCAGTGTCCATATTAACCCTTTAAACCCTAAGATCAAAATTGAGAATCTCATTTACTGTTCTTATACTTTTTCAATGGAAGTAGTGAGGAGAATTTGTTGAAATATCAATTAGACTCGTCTTCCCTGATCATGTACTCAATTCTCATGTCTACTCTGTTTTACAAAGCACTGATATTACAAGGAGAAATTTGATGCTGGTCACTCTTAGGGCTTAAAGGGTTAATGGGATTTGATTGTAATATATTATTAATTTGAATATTTTAATTTCTAATTCTCTCATCCCAAGGGTTCCAAATGTAAAGAATGTTGGTCTAAAGTGTTTTTGAAATGCAGAACATTTTTTGAATCTTTTTGTCCAGCTCTAAGCACAACCTAGATATGATTTTTGGAACTCCATTGCCATGCTATTGATTTCAGTAGTTCTCATTCTTTTACCTTCTGCTGGTTGCTATGTTTTTTTTTTCACTCATGAGAGTGAAAAGCTTGTAAAAGCTTGCCATAATAGGGGTAGGGCCAAATGAAACATAAGCAACAAGGCTCACATGTTCAGATCCCTAGAGCTTATCTAAGTTTCTGTAGTATGATTCAAGCACCAAGAAGTGTTGGTACCCCCTTGCCCCCCTGGATGGCATGCTAGTCCATTGCACCTAGACCTGTTCATTCATACTCCTTGGTGAAAAGAGACGCAGCAAGTATCTGGTCTGAAGAAATTGCAACCACAAGGCTGAATCAAGCACTATATATTCAGGTGTTAACTGCCCAGCCACCAGACGTCCTTCCATATCAGAAACTAAGCGAAATTCCTCGATAAAACAAGACATCTTTCTTGAGGCCCTGTTAGGCTAAAATTCATAACAAATGAAATGGCCTTGAAACAGCAACAAAAGACTGCAGAAAGCAGCGTTCCAGTAAATTCTTTCAAGCAGGGGTCATGTAGACCATCTGAGGGATCACCAAGACCAAGTGCTAATTTTTTTTGTTATATTATTATTATTTATTTTAACTTAACACTTATATGTCATCTGTCGGGTCAGGAAGCCTTCTTTGTCGGGTCATTGGCCAGAAACCTGCCTCTTATCAGGAAAACTGAGAAAGGGCGACAAACAACACAAAGATGAGTTGAAACTGAGACAGTGACAGAGAAAAGCGCAAATACAACATTAATTGTAAAATAGCGATAGCAACATGGCTTTCTCCTCAATATGCAAAATGATACGTAACCCCCCCTAAGAGGACCTCATATTTATTCATGTTGTGCATTTTCCCTGAAGGGTCCAGCAGCACGCATGGGACAAGGATATGCAGATGTCTTGGTTCCTCCTGCGGCTGGAGGATGGTTGTGGGGTGGAGCAGCACCTAATCACCCTGCAGCACGACTGAATGATTGGCAGCTTGATCGGCACACAGATGAGGACAATGCAAACCTTCCTCAGCAGCCTGCGGGGGAAGTGTCTGAGGAGCAGGTATGAGAAAGAAACCCTTGTCGAGCGAGATTCACATTTCTGTGAATGACTGCAAGTGCTTACTGTTCTTGAGTTACTGTAATACAGGGGTCAATTCAATGAAACTTCTACGAGTCTAATTTACAAGAACAATGTAGCTATTGTTTTCAGACTCTAAAAAAATGGCCACACTTATAAATTAAACTTGTAAAAGTTTTCTATTGTTAAATTGACCCAGCTCGCAGTGATGTGCAATAATATGGCAACTCAGGTCGCAGCAGGAAAATGCTTACAATGGATGCAGCCAACTGTGCGTTTAATCATTGCAATGACATGCTTGTGGTGTTGGTTCAAGAGTTCTATTCATTTGTCAGTCAGCCTCTGTGCTGTTGATTTCTCTTGGTTTGTCAGTGATAATGTGCTTTATGATAACAGTCGACAGACACCTCTATAAGAATGGACATTTCTGTAAAATGGACACTTAAAGTTGGTCCCTGTCTTTCTTTACGGACCCTTTATTTAACTCTCTATAAGACGGACATCTCTGTGAAACAGACACCTAAAGTTGGTCCCTGTCTTTCTTTACTGACCCTTTGACTCTCTATAAGACGGACATGTCTGTGTAACAGACACCTAAAGTTGGTCCCTGTCTTTCTTTACTGACCCTTTATTTGACTGTCGATAAGATGGACATCTCTCTAAGAGGGACACTTCATGTCACTCCCAAAGGTGTGCATCTTATAGCTTGTGAGCAAGCTCTCTGGGGCACTCTGGCAGTGGGGCAAGAAACGGGATTTTCTCTGGAATTTTGAATTCTACCTCCAATTCCCCTGTGGCTCTGCATTGACTGAGCTGTCAGATTTCTGCCAATCAGCATAAAGCAGCAAAAAAACGAATGTAGACAAACATTGAAAAACACGTGCCAAGCATAATGATGTCATTACTAATTTATTAATGTCATCTCTTCCAATCAGCATTTCACATCAACTTTTTCGATGCAGATATTCAAATTCTGGAGACATAGTTGCAAGCTCTTCTTCCTTTTCCTGCCCCGCCGCCAAAGCGCACCAAAGAACTTGCTCACAGGCTATCCATCTTCAAGAGTTGACTATACAGACAATCATTGCTACTGCATTGGTAACACATGGCTGTACTGTATTTCAGGTTCAAACACTTGTAGAGATGGGTTTCTCTAGACTAGCTGTACTCCATGCTCTTGCGACAAGCAATAATGATATCACCATGGCAACAAACATCTTACTGTCGCAGACATAGACCCTGATGAATCACAATTGTGTGCTTGCAGTCTTCAGAGCAGTAGTTCCCTGAGCTGAGCATTGTAAATAAATATTAATCATTATATTTTCAACCTTGTAAAATTTAGATTTTTAGAGGCTTCAAAAATTTTGTGCATGTTATCTGTAGAAAAAAATGAATTTTATGTTATTTATGTATGATTTTTTTCAATGTAATTGTACTTATTGAGCAGCCAAACAAAAAATTATTGGCAGAGCTAAGCTGTACATGTATAATAAGTTGTCAATAGTTTTGATGCTAGTAACTTGCAAAAAATTATAAGAAAATTGCGAGTTGTGTAAGGTCAACGTGAGAAAACATTTGACATGACATCTTGCAGTTACTTAGAGGATGAAAATTAAAGATAACTATTAAATGATAAAATTAAAATATATGCATCATACTGTTGAACCCCTGTTAACATATTGTGGCCATCCTCTATTTAGTAGCCAGTTACCAGTTCGGAGAGTGTCAATGTAATGAAACTAAATCAGCAAGTGGAAGACTCAAAACTGTAACAGTCTGTCTGATTACCAAGAATAGGCCTTAAACTTTCTGTAAACACGAAAATAATATTCGCTTTTGGAAAATTTTGTTAGCAGGAACTGAAAGAGCATATTAAAATAACCTGTAAATTATGAGCCCTGTATCTCAAAAGTAGCGATTTCAACAGCCACTGAAAATTATACGGATTTGTATGAGAATAAAGACTCTTGCCATCCAGTTGTGCTTGAGTGGTTTTCCAAACAAAAAATTGTAAATTTTGACATTTTCAAACTGTTGTGAAATATTAATTTCCACAAGCATTATGGAGCTCAAATCGCCTTTATAATTCATAACAGGCAATTTGAGCCCTTAAAATATTATGTTTTTGAGATAATTATAACTCTGATAATTTACATACCTAATTTTAATGTGCTTTTTTCCAAAGGTGAACTGTTTTTGTGTTTACAGAAAGTTGGTCACGTGGCCAACTAATGCAAAAGGCCTATCCTTGCCCTACTCTTACTCCTTGCCTTATTCCACACACACTGTTCTCTCAAAGACTCAACTCTCAAAGAGGAACTGGCTCAAAGAATTTCTGGTATTTTCCCAGAGCAATTTTCTAATTTAACCCCATTCTCATGCTTGTTATTTCAAGAATGTTGAATCTAAGACAAAAATATCAGTCTGTTGTATGGCTGTAAAATGTATAAAAATAACTGACTGAAGCGGTTTTAAAACTCTCAGTTCATGGTAATGTGATGGGACTCAGCAGTGAAGCAGAAGCAATTTGACCCTGGTTGAGAAGGTTACCTGGTCTGGCAGACCAGGCTACCCGCCTATCATGAAAATGTGATCAAATTAAAATGAGAGATTATATGGACAGGCTGGTTACCTTACCTACCTGGGGTCCCCACCTCCATGTAAACCGGCCCTTAATTAGTATTTCTCTTGAAAATAGTAACAAAACTCACGAGATGAAAAAAAATCACTTTAATTTATTAAGGTGTAAATCCCTGTATGCCACAGGCTTACTATGTTTCAGGAGAGAAGGATATTAAATAAATACACTATTCAAGAGGTACAGCTTCAAAATTCAAGCTTTAGCAGCCAGCTAGTAGAGATCATTTGCCCAAAGTTCCTGAAGATGAATAACTGAAATACAACTTTGCATTTTCAGTTCCTAACCAGCATCAAAGAATATTAAAGAATAACTATTTACTACTACTTATCAGCTGTAGTAAGAGTATCAATACTATTACTAAAAAGTCATGGAATATGCACATGGAATTGTCTTTTGTTTGCTTATCAAACCAAGTCCTAAGTTCAATATTATAATCACCTCAAAATTCTGAATAACATTATATCAGTAAATTTTACCCTCCCTTGCCAAAAAAGCCTCCCAAATCTCTGAAAAATCCTCCATAATGGGCGTTCTGAACATAAGCTTACTGAGCAAGATAGAACATACACCCCCAGATAAGAAATGGCATTAGTCAACTTTAAGCATAGTTAATTGAGTGGAATGGTTATGAAACCCGTCAGACTCCTTTGTTATATGTTTTTGTGGACCTGAAAGTGCACAACGTTCAAAAGAATTCTTATCATTTTGATTGTATTGACCAATAAAAACGTTGCATTAATTTATTCCGTAATAATTTGCCAACAGAAAACAAAGGATTGTGCACTTTCAGGGTGCTTCCAACATAAACTGCAGCACTGTTGTTTTTATCATTGATGTTTGCTGCTTTTCATAACCAGTCTCCTCTAATAACTATGCTTTAAGTGTCTGTTAAAATAGAGTTGAATGAACTTTACATGATTAGAATACAGTCACACCCTGCTTTACGGACATGGCCCTGCATAATACAGACACCTTAAAGGAGCTGTGTCACGAAATTCAGCCAAATGAGAAAATTACAAAATGCTCGTTAAATTAAGAGAAACATAAAAATAACCACTTAAAACATTAAAGGAAGGTTAAAATAACACAACAGAAACAACAGATGCCACGGATGGGTAAAACTGAAGAAGACTGAAACGGATTGAAAATAGGGTGTTTGAAAACTGTTCAGCTTAACAGTTTTTCAAAGTTGATCCCTGCTACTTGCAACTTGAAAAATAATGCTCGGGAGACATCTTTGTTTGTCCCCGATCTCTGATTTTGTCATTTACACATAATTTCTTTGCTTTCTTTAAGTTCGATAGCGATTTTAGGGCCAGTAATTAGCAAAATTAAATAAAATGAACTGGATTGCCATGACACAGCCCCTTTAAAGTGCTCACAGTTTGCTTTGTCTCTGGGTAAAGAAAGCCTTTACATTTTTCCTAAATTCAATTAAAATGGACACCCCATTGATATAGACACCTTGTATGGCCCCCTCAGTATCCATATTAACAGGATTTGACTGTATCTTTATTAAGATCACATTTCTGTGAAAGCAGACCAGCTACTAAATGAGAACACTGTTGAAAGTCTTTGTCATTCAGAGTTTTAATGAGATGAGATGAGAGCAGTTTTAAGGGTAAGGGGCGCAAAATTTTCATGCAAATGAATACTGTCATATTTCAGGAACATTTACAAATATTAAACTGTTCCTTTCTAGCAGCAATCCAAGAGCTTTTGTAAAACTAAGTTTCCTCAATGATAACCTGGATCCCCAACCAAAATTGAGGCTTTGAGCACCAAGGCCTACCTCTTAAAAATTATTCAGAATTTTTTCAGTAACTTCCCACCCAAAATTCAATCACAGAAGTCATCATACTACTGCTGACCCCAATTTACGCCCATATATTTTGGGGAGAATTCTATTCCAGTCTAAATTGCTAAATTTTAAAGTCTGCCTACTGATACACAAAAATTATTATTATATACAGAGAAGAGAAGCCTTTTGAAATGCTAGCATTCATTGATCAAAGGTCTGTAAAATAATTTGTTCTATAGCTGGAATTTTCTTCCCAACAGTGCATGCTCTCATTGGTTACTTCGAGGTCACATGGCATCTAACAATGAAACTGTTTCCTGCCAAAATCTTTGAGCAGGTAACACTGCAAAATCTATGACGTCAGAGGGCTACAGTGCACTGTTCCCTACAAAAATTGTTGACTGACAACCGCCAAATACAGCAAGGTTTAATGTATTTCCAGCTTCAAAATTTCCAGCTATATAACAAATCACCTAAAGACTGGCCCCTCAGGAAACGGTAAATTTTCTCAATGTTTCCCTCGGCAAACATTGAGATTCTCGAACATTGAGATTCTCAGGAAACAAAATAATTAACTGTTTCCCTCCAAACCAGTCATGAAGTGTTTAATGTTTGCTCTCAAGCATCGAACAGTTCACAAGATGCTGAAAATGACCTTAAAACTTACAGGTCTTGCAGTCAAATTCTTATAATGGTATTTTCACCTTGTAGACCTGTACGATTGAACACAGAAACAGTAACCTCCTTTATCTTGCAATAATGATAAACATTCTTCAAACCGCCATCTTGGATAAAACTGCAGTGAAAATAAGCTTCCCACTTGCACAGAGATAAATTGACAGAATTTGAGATGCTGATTTAATGAGCTTTATATTGCATCCTGGCAACACTTGAGCGCATACATCACAACCTGAAAAAATCTTGTCAAGCTTACCATGTCTTAGCAATAACTTTATCATCCTCTCCACACAATCTCACTGATATTTCAGCGACAACATGTGATTTAATACATGTGCCTCGTACTTTTCTCAATGTTATTCCTAGGAGCTATCATCAAATGGTTTGATGAGATAAAACTTGCTACCTTCTTTATCTGTAAATATAGGAGCTCTTTTGTAATGTTCTATTAGCTCGTGGAATGACTTAAATCGCCGTGGTCCAATGCTAAATTCTCCATCAGCAAACGCCACTCTAAAATGCTTAATTTTGTCAGGAGCTTTCATGGACACAGAGTAGCCACCCTCCTAAAAGAGCAAAAAGAAAAGAAAAGCCCATGAACTATTAGGTGCTAGTAATGGAACAGTCATACAGACCTACAGTACACAATTATGTACCAATTCCCCCTCTCACTTACATTTTACTGTACTTTAGCTGAGCAAATGTTGCTCGCATATGCAACAACTCGTAATAATAAATACAACGTGCTAGTCCTACAAGTCACTCCACTAGCTAAGGGTTATGTAGGACAGCCCTTTCGTTCGGCACACCCTCCCAACCCACCTTACATAAGACTGACACAAAGCTATAGCTAAGGACCATGGATCCTGTCCCCTTTAAATTTGACCACAACAAAGATGAAGAAGACAATGCCTATGACCTCATTTTGCTATGCAATCATCGATCATCGAGAGAATCTTACCTGAGTTTCACTGACTCGTACTAAAAAATCACCATCCACAGCAGTTTTGTTCAATAACTTCTCGGCGTGTCCTCTTGTAATTTTACCCCAGAACCACTTTTCTTCGCAAAATGGCAGTCTTTGATGTTCTGGCAAAATAACTCTCTTTAACAGCTGGTTAGCAACCGCACCAACACTACCAGAACTTGTTGCTGGAATTTCGCTGTCATTATCCACAATAACAATATAATTACGAGGAACCAGACCTGTGGAGCCATCCTTTTTACGGGCCTTCCACCAATCTGGATCATCTTCAGGTTTGTCGATAACTTCCAGAATTTCATCCTTTTTAAACTTGAGCTCCTCTGGATTTTCTGGGTCAAAATTGTACAAAGTCTTTACCTTATGAATGACCGGCTTTTTGGGTTTAGTGGATTTTGAGTTCTCTTCCTCTGACTGTACATAATTTGACGGAAACCACCCGTTTCTGCTTCCAATGCATCCTTTCCACCATCCATCCTCCTGCTTCTCAAGAACTTTTATCTTGTCTCCTTTGATCAATGCAAGTTCATCATCGTGTTGCGGCCGGAAACTAAATTTTGCAACCACAGTTTCAATCCCGGCAAGAACGTCCTGAGGTACAAAATATTCTCCTGGTTGATTGAGAGTTCCGTTCTCAGGACTATCCTTTTCTTTTGGTCGCTTTAACTTTCCTAAAAATCCTTTGTTAGCTCTTTTCACATAGTTGGAGGGCACAAAACCTTTTTCATGTCTTGAATTTTCTACTTGCCACCAAGTTTTGCTGTCATCAATTATAGTTAGTTTCTCATCCTTCCTAATTGATAATTCTTCATGCTGCGTTGCTGTGTAGTCATAGATGGCAATCGCATTCATACATGACATCTGCAAGAAAGCATAGTTTTAATATCTGAAGTCACCGCTGGAGTCACAAAAATTCCTGTCTGGTAGCTAAGGGCCCAAGCCAGTCATCTTCAGAACAAATCATTGACTGTCTAAGATGGGCAAGAAGTAGCCCCAGGCAAGCAAAATGAGAGAGCTGTTTGCACAAGCTGGAGTTTAATTTTTTTTTCACCCTGAGTAATTCTGTGTCCATAACAAGAATGGTAGTTTTGTGAAAATTTCTATTTTCACTGGTATTTTCACTAGTGACCAGAAACATTGTTTCAGGAGAACCCAAAATACCGGTAATTATTCATAATGAACTACCCTTTGAATAACAAAAGCTATAATTATGTACAAAGTGGCTGAGGTTTAAAACCAAACTTCCTGATGTTTTCATGACAATGCATGTGGTGTCCACTTTACTATCATGCATCATTGCATCTACTAATATTGTACGACACAAGCATTTACTTGTGTAAAGTAAAACAGGGCTTATAATAGGACCAAGGGAGTGAAATTCACGTCAACTAGGATTCCAACCCACGAGTCAATTTGCACTGAGAGGTAAACACATTAAATAATTACAAAATAAACACAGCACCTTCAGCAACATTTATACAAAACTTGGGTTGTTACTGAGGATTTTTCCCCATCAGTGTCTTAGTTAAGCAAACAGTACAGGTAGAAAAATGCCTATTATTGTATCTTCTTTCAAGACGGATTGGGGTTGTGAAACAGCCTAGATAAAGTCACGCTTGGTTGTTTTGGTGTGTTGACTCTTAGATCGAACACATGTATCGCACAAGCGGTCAAATAGCACAAAAATGGTTAACAAACGCACAAAAGAGTTGAATAATTTTCTCCGGAATTCCGTGAAAGTCAGAGCTTCTCTCGAAAAGCAATTAGCACGTGATGACTTTTTTCAATTGCAATTCGAATATCTTGCGCAACGAAGTCGCCATTAAGTAACAGGGACCTTAACCAAGAGCAAAATTTCTCTAAATCGCCTCTCATCTGCCCAAAGAAAGTTACTTAGCTACAATTGCAGTATATTGTCTAACAAAATTGTATCTAAGCTTAAATGTAAATATTACGGTGGAACGGATATCGGTAACGGCACACAATTTGTAGTTTGATGCGTACGCTTGCCGAATTTCACGGATGTTAGTTTTGTTTTTTACATATCGCTTGTCCTACGGCAGAAGAAACCCCAAAGGTATATTTAAAACTTGCTATAAGGCTTTGGTTAAATTTGCAATAGGTAATTGTTCATTCAAAGAGACTCTTCAAATTGAGATCGTACAACTATCACACTTCCATTTCCGATCACATCACGGACTACTCTTCAAATAATTTTCACTTTCGATTCCTTTTCAACGCACACATTACCAAAACTTTTACTATCCAGTTCGTATATTTATACTTTAATCTTATCTTGATTAAGGAATAGACGGTCAATACCTCGCTCAACTATTCCTTAACTGTCTTTGATGGTTTGAAACCATACGATAAGATAATTTCTTAATCGATTTCAATTTCGAGATTCCACCTTCCACTTTGTATAAATTCCCCAATAATATTAACCACATTTCTTGTTTTACCAACCTTTTGTATCCAGACGACCCTTGATAAGATGATCCTTGCCCAGATTATTCGCTAAAGCCTTGACTTTCCAAAGCCCAAGACAAGTCGATTACAACGCGGAATTTTTTATCGCACTGAAGCGAATGTCAACATGGCCGACAAGTTGTTCTTACACCCATGTCACGTGGTTTAGGGAAGCTCAGTGTTCCTGTTTCCATGCCCTCGCAGATCACGTCACTACTCTAATTTATCCTCCTTATCCATTATATGGGATAAACTCAAGTTTTATTTTGTAAATATATCAAGTACGTAGACCTTCTGCATGAACTTCCTTTGCGAGGGTGGAAGAGGGCGGAAGAGAGAAAGGGGTTTTCCCGTGTGGTGCCGGGCTTAGCCGCCCGCAAAACAAGAATCTGCGTCACTTGTGGAAGAGTCAGTCAGGCTCTTGGTGGATTGGATTGTAAACAGGGGATAAACAGTGGATTTCAAAGGGCCAGGGGGAAGCGCTTATTAAAAAGTGACAAACAAATAAACACGTGTACGATGAATGATATAAAAAGAATTTAATAATCAGTGAAACCACTTCGATAAGCCGGATCTTGTGCATTCCTAGCCTGAATCACTAAATAAAAGGGAAGAAAAAAACAGATCCTCAATGCAGGAAGATTCCTCCTCGATCTGCTCCCGTGCAATCATTTCACCATCACCCTGGTTGTGGCCGACACGCAGGCATTAGCTTTGTCTTTGTGGTACTGACCTTTATAGGCCAACCTTTGCAGTCTTGATTCCTCCAGAGACCGTGTTTTGTCCTGCATGTTCTACCAGACATCGGCGAAACCCAGATCTTCTTCTATGAATTTCGTCAGGGACCACAGGATACCATGTCTCGCTAACTGGCCCTGTTATACGAAAACTGAAAAACTCATGGTCAATAATCATCATATGGACAGTTATTAAGGGGGCAAGAATCCGCCTCGTCCACATGGTTTTACAAGGCTTTTCCGTTGGGAAACCCCTTGGACGCGATTGCGCACTAATCAGAGACCACTAAGATTTGCACGATCTGCGAGATGATACTTGACTACTAGCACTAGCTATACCGTAAGTACTTAGGGACGGACCATTAGAAAACTTATGGGGGGTGCGGGCGAAGTACCAAAAAAATATTCGCGCAAGGGAAAATTAAATGAAAAAAAATTCATGCACACCAATTAATCCTAAAAAATATTCATGCTATGGCCTGAAAAAAAATTCATATAAGGAATTTGATGACGAAAAAAAATTCCTGCGGCTCGAAAATTCCCCTTCCCTTCCCCCTATAACCTTTCTAATGGTCCGTCTCTTAACGAGGTCGTTCCCAGGGTCCTTTCCAACTCGTCTCGTCCTCTCTAAACCGCCATATCCTTTATTAATTTAATCCTTTATTGTCCATTCGGTTAGTGTAGGTTGTTTGCGCGCACGTTATTTAAGCAAGCGCGCTCTCTTTTATTATTTAATTTACGTGTGTATTTACCGCGTAATTTAACGCTAGCTTAAAACTCTGTTGTCAGTTGTGATTCCTCTCGCAAAACGCAAGTGCAACATTCAAGAAATCATTTAAAATCCACTCGATCTTGTACTTGTAGTCAGGAGCCCAGCCTGTTGTAGTTCAATTTTGATTTGTGTTCATATCAACAATATGGATTTTACAACAAACGTGTGTGTAAACAGAGCTAGAAATGATTGGGTCCGCAAGAGATTTTTTCCGCGGAGAATCTCTAGAACCAGTTTTCTCAGTTTCTCAATCTCTCGGCTTCAGAGCTAAATTTGAAACCCTCATCGTTACAGCAAAAAAGGATGAATCATTTCTTAATCTCTGCTGAGTCGGACAGTCCGGAATGTCTGCCAAGGTTTCAGTGCGAAAATAAAAGATGGGACGGCACGCTTTGCTGAAACTAACTTGGAACTCATTTGAACCACCGACATGTCATCAGGATGTTTCGGTTATCTGTTAAACCGTGTTGAACTGATCTTCGCATCTGGAACAAGTACTGAAGCGTACTCAGCCATTTTTGTTCGGCTTTGGTAGAAAACACGTGACCGGAAGTCGTTAGTACGAGATGCACATACGTTCCACTTGAATACTGAATTAATTTTCAGTTTCACATTACTTTACCAACCATACAGGAAAAAAATTGAATCTAACCGTTTTGTTTATCATTTTGTGCCTCAAATTGGCCAGGTAATTTATGTGAGTGTAGCCCGCGTTTGTGTTGGTTCGTTGATATGAGTTATGATTATAAGATACGTTAAGATTGATTAAAGTAAAAAAGCACTTGAAAATGTATACCATCATAGAAATAACGTTGCCTTGGATGAAAGGTATGTAGTTGACGTAGTTGTAACAGCAGACTGAGAAAAGAACTTTCTTCTCCGATAAATTAAAAACCTCAAAGCCTAACACCTTTAATAATCTTTTTGTCCTCGGTTGTCCCCAGTTCAAATCCTCGGTCACGCTTGTAAATAACCAACTGGTTGCCTCCTGCCAGTTGGGGTTATAAAATCCTGTTATGTTGTATTTGAATTATTTGTTTTCTAAGTATTACCTGATTGTAAAGCGCTTTGGATCACTAAGAGAAAGGCGCTCTATAAATGTATATTATCATTATTATTATGATGATGATGATGATGATGATTATTATTATTATTATTAAAATAATAGCAGACTTTTTGAAGTTCACTTTTTACTTTTACTTCTATTTTATATAATGAGTGACAGTATGCCAATTTCAATTATGTATGTTTCTTTTTTCTTCAGTTAGCAAATAAAATATGTTGAAATTGTCTGTGAGTGTACGTTTATTTTGCAGATGTCAAATTCATCTCCTTCGCGGTTTAAAAAAAGTGTTCAAGTTAAGGAAGAAGAACAAACTATTGTTGACATTTACTCGCTCAAAAGGTTTTCTTCTTTTTCCAGTCTGGGAAGGTAAATTACTCCGGGAAAGTTAAGGTGAATTTCGCAACGGGTGGAATAAGAATTCCAGTCTAAAAATTTCATTAGCACAGGATTCGTCAGACTGATGGTAAGCCTGTGCAGCCTGTTACCATTCGCACTATCAATAAAATACCGTCAAAGGCCTTTTAAAGAAGGTTTTAATTACTGATTGCTTTTAGTGCCAATAAATCCCTGCTGTTACCGGACGTTTTGACGTTTCAAACACCATAAACATGTTCTGTGGTTTCTAAACAGATTTACTTTCATTTTTAACTTTCGCTGAATCTGTCATTATACGAGCGAATCAAAAATTGACGCAAAGGAGGGCAAAAACGCAGTCAAGATAGTATTTCCGCTTTATCTTAAATTCTTTTACCGCTAAAAACCGCCATTGCAAGAATCAAAACCGACCAGTTCAAAGTTTGTGTTACTGATTTGGCTTCAGTAAAACTAGCAGTAGATATCAGTTTTGTAAACCGCGAAAAACTCTGTTGAAATGATTAAAATAAGCGCAAAATGGATGAGTTATAGCAGTATTGTTGTATTGATTTAGTTGTTTTATCTCTCCACGGATTTTAATTCGGTCCGCCTGCTTGAAAATCGCTTCTCTTCAAAAATGAGCGTACTTCAGTGTCGTCGGCATCAATTAACTTTGCGCCGTTTGTTCCATAAATTATACCCAATATGTATTCCTAGAAATTACATTGGAAGAAAAAGAATAAGCGACGGAATATGTGTGATGTCTTGACTAATCTATTTGATTCGAGTCTCTGATATGAAAGGCTCAAACATGAGGAGATTTAAGTTGAAAAAGGGACACATTTACCATTAATTGGCATGCACTTCTTTCATTACGCGCCGGATTTCCTTTTTCTGTTTCTTCTTGCCAACCTGGAAACATAGAAAAATAACCGTTCTCTGAAAAGGAAATTAGTCTAGATGAAATGTAATATTTAAAAATTTCAGGAAATGCTGAACTTAAAGTGCACAAGTTTTTCAATTTTCCTTCTCCGCAATCAAGCAGTTTAAGATAAAAATTTTATCAAAGTTCTATAGATATATCAACATTTTCTAAAATATATATATAGGATAAAGAAAATTGATATCTAATTAGACATGTCTGTCTACCTTTCAGCTTCGTTGACGAAACTAAAGAGAGAGATGTTATTTCAAGTTTTTTTTCTTTCAGCAAAGCAACATTGTATCACGGCTGAATTGATATATATGAAGTCAACTAAAGACAAATCACAACATTCGCGGCACAAAACATTTTCAACCCAACCTTTATGTTTGCTTCATTTTAAAAATTTGTTCCAATTTTATCGCATTTCATTTTTATTCTGAATTTGTCAGAGACGGGATGTTTTAGATAAAAATTTGTCAGTAATATTTGACGAAATTTTCCAAAAGTCACAAGATCAAATTGGACCGTATCGTTATGTTCACACCTAGCTGCGATTTTCTTTTATTTCGTTCTTTAAAACGAAACTACTGCAAGAATTAGCACGTTGATTGTTTTCATTTAACAATAAATCCTTAATTTAGGGAGAATTTTCACGTGCGCGCGATTCAGTACTGTCCGGCAGCCCGCCCTCCAATAACCCAAGTCAAGTCTCGTTTTGAAAACGCATCAATTCAGTTCAGAACTTAGCTGATGGAGTTTTAACATGGCGCAAAACTTGCCTTTTTCAGTGGCTAATATACTTCGTTCGGACTTCCCCCATCCTTCGCGTATTAGCAGAACACCCAGGGTTTTATATGTGCCACCTTGTTTTCAAGAAGCTGCAAATGTTCCATTTGTAGCCGGCTTGCGTTGCGAGCTTGATCAACGTATGAAGTGCGGACAAGCTGGATGTTTTAGCTACAGCGGTGCTCCGCCAATATTTTCACGGCCAGAGAAAGATACGATGCAAAGTTCCACTCAAAGAAGGAAACGACAGGGAAAGACGAACTCCAGCGAAACTCAAAACGAAGGTAATATTACTTTTAAAACTCATCCCTAGACTTTTTATTTGAGTTCATTACATTGAGTTTTTACCTGGCCAGACGCGAAATTAATGAATGCTGTTAGTTAAAAGTGTTGTTCTAATAACACATAGCACTTGACATTTTGAAACCCATACGCAAGGTGTTGAAAATTTCAAAGAAATGTTTTAGTTTTCATTGATTAACGCAATTAGGCTTATAGTTGTTTAAAAAATGACGCCTTTTAATATATATTTGTATGCAAGTTCGTCTTTTGTGCAAACTCAGCGAGATTTATGCTTGGCTGCCCTCATATGTGCAACATGGTTTTGTCGCTAAAGTAAAATTTTAGCAATTTTGAATTTCAGTTAGATTAATTTCTTATAAACGAATTGCTAATTTTCAGTAGTCACCTCTTTAAAAATTCCTCCATTTGTCATGGAGTTTTTTATTTTGCGACTTCTGTTGGTCGCCAAAAGTGTATCGAGTACAAAGTAAGTGTAATTTGAAAATCATTATTTAACAAATTTGTTGAGAAAACTTCGTTATAAAACCAAAAAGTGTGTGGAAAAAATTATCATGGGAATGCAATGACTCATTTTGAATTTGCAGTGACACATGAACTTCGTTATGCTAAACTTCTAACTTTTATCAAACTTTGCCAGTTAGAATTTTTCCTCGCATACCCATGTAGTTGGTTATTTCGCCATTGCAAACGCCTTGAAACATCAGAAACGAATTCAACACAACTGGGAAATTTTTTATTTTTTAACTATGGCAGAAAAAGCTAAAACTAGCATTTGCCGTTAATCTGCAACTTTCATTTGTATGACATTTTTCATGACTGACGACAAATAAAACAGTTAAACTATTTTAAAAGAGATCAATTTTGCGAAGATAAAAAAAAAAATGATTTTGTTAACAGTAAAGTACGTATGATTCGCAAAACGTCGCCAAAATTGGGCCGTTACTTAGTCAGAATGGTTTTCACTTCCTCTTAGTCTATCCCGCTTCACTGCAAAAATGATTGTCTTTCAATTTTGTTCATCAAATCAGACAGGTACCTGTAAAATTTTTGCTGACATGAAATGAAACGAAGAAGAATATATAATTTCCTGAAACTCTGATTATGAAACAAGGGTCATATTTAAGTTTCGCTCTTTTAAGAGTTGACAATGCCCCAGTCAAATAAAATCCCGCCCTCAACCTATCCCTTTGCAGAGAGGGGTATTTAACGGGGGAGGGGGAGGGAGAATTTAACCTGTATCTGGTGTCAAAGAAAAGCTATCTACTGGAATAAGCACAAATTTCTTTGGGATATCCCCGTCTGTATTCTTTGAATTCGTCTCGTTGCGCAACGGCCGTGCATGTTCCGGGATTTCCCGGGCTTTATGAAAGAGGGGAAAGTCTTTCCTCTTCTTGGAAACGTCATTCTAGCCTGGGGCCCGTATCGCGAAAGTCTTCCTGCATGGTAACTGTTCAGGCCTGAAATCATTCAAATATTCCCAAATATACGTAAAACTGAAGTGTAAAAGAGCGGGTCCTAGCTGACAAACTGGTGCATTTTCATTTTTGTTAACTCGGAAAGTTTTATCGTATCATATCTGCAAACTGTTAAGCTTCGGTTAACAGCAACAGCTAATCGACCTGATCGGGACCCCCGCGGCTTTCGTGAAACGGGGCCTGGAGCCGGAAAACAGCTGACGTTTCGCGTTTCCCTATTGCTTGCAGTTGAATTTAGCAGTTGGGTGTCCCAAAACTTTTGCTGTTTTCTCAAGCTACACAATTTTATCGCGGATTGAACAGGAATAATGGAATAAAAGAAACATACATATTTCTTTTGAAATAATGACATAATTCCCTTGTTTTTAAGTTTGGGGGTAACACTGGAACAATGTTGTCCTTTACAGACAGGTCCTTTACTTTACTGAGTCCAGAAGATTTAAATTTCGAATGGATCTCATGCTCTCTTCAGCACCCAATTCGATTTCGGGAATTTGACCAATTTGGAAAAACATTTTTTTTTTCTCTTTTAAAGAAAGTTTGTTTTCCAAAGCTGAGCCTTATCTTGTGGTTAATTTTGGCAGAAAATTTTACTTTTCTTGGAAAAGCAAATAAGCGCTATTTTGGAAGGGCTTAAAGATTGTTTTCTGTGAAAAATCGGATTAGTAATGAGCTGTTATTGTGAGGTTTTGACTGATTTATTTGAAATGATGACTATGTTTTATTTAAGGACAATTACTGTTGTTGCATTTTCTGAGAAACTTTGATTCATTTTCCTAAAATGTAAAATATGCCAATTCCTGTTGAGCAAGCGATAGGTTCAGGCTTATTTTCTCCCACAAGGTGCCAAGGGCATTGAGTAAAAAAATGCAAAACAATTTTGTTCCAAAACGCCAAGGTTTTTATTATTCTCTCTTGTTGTTATTTATTATTTTCTCGAACAATATTCCAAGTAATACAGTTCGGGCTTTTAAAAGCTTAGGGTCGTTTATTTAAGCGAAGGCCAATTTAGGCCGCGGTTTAAAAAATCATTGGACCTCGAGATCTCTCTCTTAGTGTGCCATTTTAAGAAAACAAGTGCTTTTTCAGTCTACACCGTATTCTTTATTGAAACTGTTCACGGTAAACGGTGTTTAGATAAAAGCGTCTGCCACTGACTGAAAATGGCTTAGAACGCAGTTTTGTTAAACACAGGCTAAACTCCGTTTAAATACCTGGCCCTTAGTTTTTATCACATGAGTGGTAGTTATTAGCTAGTATCATGTCATAGGACCTTTTTTTACTGATAACGGACATAAAAAACTTCTGTTGTTGTTGTTTACAAAAAATAATGCGCTCTAAAATTGTAATCCCCGTATACCGCTGAATAGACCAAAAAACCAAAAACCAAAACATATACCTTCTCCAGTATCATTTCCATGTTAGACCAAGTCAGGAAGTGTTCGACACTTCTACGGTTTCAACCGTTTTAGTTGTTGTTGTAGTTGTTTTTTTTTTCTTGTTGCCATACTGATTTCAAGTTGTGTAACATTTTTCATTTGAGGTTATTTTTCCCTGGGGTCTTTTTATAAGTGCCTTTACACGTGTATTGCGGCCTTGTGTCTAAGTCGGGATGAAGAGGTGGCGTGTGTGTGAGAGAGTCATGACACTGGCCATGTGTATATTTTAGATATTTTTATTTACGGGAGATCTCTCTGATATTGTCCTTTCCAGTTAAAACCTATTATGATGTAATCCTAAAATATTTAATTCCTTCGGTAGACAAAAGTGCTGGAAGTAAAAAGAGCGATGAAAGTAAAGAGGACAGCAATGCTAGTAAGGAGAAAAAACATGTTAAAAAGAAGCGAAACAGAAGTCATTTCACACAGGTGCAGCTCAAATACCTGGATGACGTGTTTTCCCGCCAACAGTACCTGACACGTGATGAGCGTGCGCTGCTAGCGAATGCTTTGGACATGACAGAGCTACAGATCAGAAACTGGTTTCAGAACAGGAGATACCAGTTACGTCATCGAGGAGTCAACAAACCGAGGCAGGTTCCTGTTAAGGTGCTGGTCAGCAGTAGTACTGGGCATGCGTCCGAGGCCGACTGAAAGCAAGACGCTGGGCGATTTCTTGTGAGAAAGTTTTGAAGAGTTTCTAAACTATTCTATAATAGATGTAATATTATCAGTCAAATGTGACTAAACATGTTGAAATAGCGGTCAGGATCTTTTTTAAGTTGAGAAAAATACTGCTGTTTTCGAATTCAACATTGAGGTCCGGCAAAATGTATTTTCGTTGGCACGGTGCAAATGTGCGCAACCGGATTGTGCCTTGTGCGTTTAAACATATGTGGTGAGGTGAATAAATTACACACGGTTTTGATACCTTTAGTGAACGCGCTAAATTCTTGATATAACACCGATGCTAGGATGCCACCTTCCAATGGTGTTTCACTGAGTTTGTCATCATTTTTAATTTCATTTTTTTTTAGGGTTTCCTAAAATAAGTACAGAAAATGTCCGGACCGACGTCGCGTGTTAAAAATATATTCAAGATGAGGAGTTTCTTCTTAAGACAGCTTTCAAAGCTCGATAAAATCAAGAGTTTTCGATCTGTCTTAACATCGATATCAACTATTCGATATCAGCGATATCATATCCGCATGGTTGAAAACAAAACTGAAGGGTGATTAAGACTGTATGTCAAGCTTTAAAAATGGGAAAAATATAAAATATATAATTCATTATTTGATTTATGTTTTCTTTCTTCATTCTTTTCTCTCACTCTTCTTGTCGCAAGGAACCTTGCAAAAAAAGAAACCAACGCGTAAAGTGAACGTGCCCATGAGGTTTGGTCTCTTTTATGCTTGCGTGTCCTTCTGGAAAGAGCTACCTATTGTTACGTTCCTTTTAATATTTCTAGAAAACAACGATGTAATTATATTTGATTTGATCTTCATAAACTTCCTCTTAGTCTGACGGCGCTGAACTCCTATTTTTAGCCGCCTGCTGTGCGTAAAGTAAGGCTCTCTATTCCCTGTTACTGAAATCGGAGTTAGTGCATGCAGATTGTATTTTTTTTTTTTTTGCAAACGTAGCCGGCCAGTTGGTTCTTTTATGATGACGCTCATTTTGAGGCTTATAGCAATTTTTTTTTTCTATCTTTTCACACGTATCTCTAGAGGCCTCTCAAAGCGTCCGTCCGGCCCTTCAAAGCTACTTTATTTTTAAATCAGCAGTTTTCCCAAAATGCATGTGCTTGGTCAGCGATATCATATCCGCAAGGTTGAAAACAAAGCCGATACTGGCCGATTTAAATATCGCCTCTTTCGACGCCGATGTGCATAACCGGAGGAGTTCCATCTTATTTCAAAGTATTGTCACGAGGAGTGTGAGAGGGGGGGCAGAGGAGCATTACTTGAGCTAGAAGAGCCATCTGATAGGGGGATGTTTCAATCTAAGTAGGACTTGGGCCTATATATACAATTGTAAAGGCTCCCAAAAGAATATCGCTCTTGACTGACGTTCCCGATTTCGGCGAGACTGAAACTTTTGCTCACAAAAAACCAAGGTATTACTAGCGTATTAGTACAAAGCTATTTCTATAGTTACGGCACACTTTCGCAAAAAATGGTTATCGTTATTTTACATTTTCAGCTGAAGTGTTAAGAGCGGCCGGAGGGAAGATGAACACTCATTTGAGGGGAGGCCATTTTTAAATTCTATTTGGGTGTGGCCAAACAATGTGCCGAGGGGGTGTGGTAAATCGAGGATTTTGTGTGAACATTTGTGAAGTATTCTGGGTCTTATAATATTTAGCAATAGGGATATAGTTGTTTAAATGTTTTCAAAAGGTATACAGAGTCTTTGTCACTACATAACGCCATTTTCGCATCACGGTGAAATGTTCCCCAGCCTTCGATATTGTCCTCAGCCTTCGTTCCCATTCCTCTCTGTTGACTAGAACGGCGCGGATTTCTCTTCAGTTGCGCCACTGACTTTGAAAAAGAAAATGTTGACGAGCCGTTTTCACCTTTGTGATGTGCTTTCTTGTTTGTTTTAAAAGGGTGGATTGTTAATGTATTATTAAAAACCCCTTATGATATTACCTCATGCATTCAGCTAGGCGTGGTTATCGCTCAATTCCTGAAGTGATCAGAGCCCATCATAGCAAAAACCCGCCCGGCGACTGTGCTAAGTAGCGGCTAATAGGCCTGAAGGCTGAAATATGCTTACAGGACAATCCGATTTAAACCGCTTGTAGGTTGTCTAACACAATTAGACATGGTGGGGCAGCTTTTACGTCTCCGTAGTGGGTGACATTCCTGAACCAACTAAAATAAATTCACCGAGCAAAATAATTCAAGAATCACGCGTGGCAAGCGCTTAAAAGAAAGGGTGGGAAGAGGAACTGAAGACGGGCCGGGAATAAAGCATATGCTTCGAAGATTATCAACAGTGCGCTTTAAATGTTAGAAATTAAACGCCTGAACAATAAAACTGATGAGCAACACAACAGTTCTCTTGGTTAACTACTTTCACATTCAATTGAAATGGAATGCATGGGTTTAAATCACCCTTCCAGGCGTTTCGGAACAGCTAAAAAAATTCGATGAATGTGAACTCACGTCATGAATCAGAGCAATAAATAACAACCTTTAAAATTGCCGATGGGTGATTAAGACTGTATGTCAAGCTTTAAAAATGGGAAAAATATAAAATATGTAATTCATTATTTGATTTATGTTTTCTTTCTACATTGTTTTCTCTCGCTCTTCTTGTCGTAAGGAACATTGCAAAAAAGAAACCAGCGCGTAAACTTATGCTTGCGTGTCCTTCTGGAAAGAGCTACCTATTGTTACGTTCCCTTTCTTAGTTCTAGAAAACAACGATGTAATTATATTTGATTTGATCTTCATAAACTTCCTCTTAGTCTGACGGCACTGGACTCCTATTTTTAGCCGCCTGTGCGTGAAGGAAGGCTCTCTATTCCCTGTTACTGACATCGGAGTTAGTGCATGCAGATTGTATTATTTTTTTTGCAAAACGTAGCCGGCCAGTTGGTTCTTTTATGACGCACATTTTGAGGCTTATAGCAAATTATTTTTTCCGGCTTCTCACACGTATCTCTAGGGGCCTCTCAAAGCGCCCGTCCGGCCCTTCAAAGCTACTTTATTTTTAAATCAGCAGTTTTCCAAAAATGCAGGTGCTTGATGGGCTGGTTGCCAGTTTCATGTTCTGTAGGGAGGGATGGGGCGGTGGGGTACGGGGTTCGTACAAATTGTGTTGCCTACTTTGTCAGCAGCCTTCTGTGAGTATAATACGTTATAGACAGATGGCAAATGTTCATTATTGATTGGCAATATTGTGTTGGGTATTAGAAGCTTCCCTAAGTTAGACTGATTTTCACGTGAGTTTCTTCATTTCTTTTTGTGTAATACAAATTTTGTCGGCGACTATGCAGGGGCACCCAACGACAATTTTCGGAAAATATCTGTCGGAAGACGATGTGAGATCTAGAATTTTCGAAGCATTTGTTGTAAAATATCTTGCTTGCCTGCCTCTCCTAACATTTTCGAACATCTAAAAAATTGTATAATTGCCCATTTTTAAGGGATTTTTACCCTTAAATATCACTTAGAATTTTCGGGAGCCTTTTTTCTGGCTGAAATTTTCAAAAAGGTAAGTTTTGCTCCCTATAATTTTCGGATTACCAGACTTTCAGCTAGGAAATCCGAAGAGATGAAAAATTTTTAGGGGATAAAAATATGCCTATATCTACCGTTTAAATACTAAAATACGTTTAACAATGCTATGTTTAAGTGGTTTTGAACTATATTCTTGTTGAGTGCCCCTGACTATGCATTCATAATCTTCTTTGTTCTGCGGAAGCATTTTACAACACTTCTCCGCCGGAATCAACATTTTTCGTCATTTTTTACTTTGGGTTTCTTTGTAGCTTGTTGTTGTCTGTTTCTAAGAGGCAAACTCTTGAACCAATAAACAAACCTACGCCTACGGAAGCCTTTTCTTTAATAACAGGAAACCAAGAGCCATGATCATTATGGCTCTTGCAGGATGTACTTGTTGATGCTATACTGTAACCTTAAATTATCTTTAAAACAAATAAAAAAAATAATTTTATACGTCAATTTGGTGTGGCCAATTAAGTCATTTAAATACATAATTGGTGTTAAAACTGGGCTGACCATTGACGACAGTCGGGGAAGAGTCGTTAGGTGACGTCATCAAAATAGTATTGCACCAAAACACATATCAAATAAAGATAATCGGCATCACCGGACAGAATTAAAAGATCAGTTAAAATTGAATTAGTTGTATCAAGTTTTGTTTAAAATAGACGTGATTAAGATTTTTTTCTCCGTTAATCAACAATGACCCATTCAAAAAAACCTGCCATCATGAAATGGCGCATGGACTCTAACACTGGAATTAGAATTAGCTGCAGATAATTAAAAATAAATAGATAAGTAATCTGAAATAACTTTATAAATCCAGCGTGATTTTAAAGCACAAGTCAGATAAATACGAATATTTCGATGTGTCGAGACTGGAGCCGGTATAGGTCCTGAAATAATCCACAGCAGTGAGCCAACAAGAGCATGGGCGGGTTCTTTAGAGGTTGGTCTGTAAAAATAAATGACAATCTTTTGATGACCTTTAAGGACGATTATTTAATACATAGTTAATCTGGACAGACATTCCACTAAAGGACGTTTTAACTTGCGCCAGAATATACGTGGGATTGTATCAAGACCATAAGTTTTAATTTTTGCCGAAAGCATTTTGGAGCTCGGAGACGACGAGCAAAAGAATGAGTTAATTTGGCTAGACATATTAATGACATAAAAGTGATTAACATTCCAAGATGTCCTTCCTCGATTTTGTTGTTTTATGATTATCCCGGCGGCGGGAATACAATACGAAACTGCATCATTTTAAATCAAAGGGTTTTGAGGGTTTTGTTTACAAACAACTACACAACGTAGCCTTCATTTCTCTTCAGTGACTCTCTTTTGACTCTCTTCGTAAAGAAGAATTGGGAAGAGACCCTTTTCTTGACTCTCTGCAACGCCTGTAACCACCTCCTGTTACATAATGTTAAGCTGCTTCAGTTTATAGAAATGTTTGTGTCATTTCTAATTGAGTTTACCGTCTCGTGACCTCTTAAAAGTCATAGGACAAATATGTTTTTACAAAGAGAGGATACGGATATATGATTTTAATTGTTGGTCACGCAGCACTCGCGTGGGTCGTGAGATGACGTCACCGGAAGTGCGTTAAAGAGTTCGCCTTCTGAAAAAATGTAATAGTGTTAAACTCATCATGCTGATCATAGATAGCATAAGGCCGCTTTTTTTCGAAAATATTTTTCCTCAGATGCTCAGAAATATATCTTTTAAAAGACATGATTAAATTTCTAATCGTGTATAAAGTGAAAACAAAAAACATGCACAAAAAAGTACCTCTTTCAATTTTGTCACACATGATGTGATCACAGCAAAATCATTTATGACCCCAGTGGATCACTGGTGAAGTCCAAACACCAAACCGCTCAAAAACGTGGGAGGCACCACAACATGGCCGCAATTTTAAAGGAAAAAGGTCAATCATTTTACGTGATAACAGCCGGTTTAAACACTGTCCTTAAAAGGCCAAGCATTTTTCCACAGCAGATTCAAAGCCAGCTAGTGCTGAAACACACACGGCAATGCGGCAAACAACAGAGGGACTTTCCCTTTGCTACAGAACTCAATCAGTTGAGTCATACTTATTTAATAAAACAATTCAGATTTATTTCAATGTATATTCTATTACTTCTTGTGCTTTCTAACAGTCTTCATACCCTATAGATGCATTATCGTTCCCTTTTCAACTTGAAATGACGATGTGTACAAAGTTGCATTCACTGGTTGCATTTTTTCTCCAAATTCACGATCATTTTTCCTTTTTCTGTTTTCACAATATCATACGACAATTGCCGGTTTGATAATTCTTAATTACTGCGTATTATGCAATTTAATACAGGGCTAATTCTGCTGATTAGAATATATTTCTAGGAACTGCAGCCTGGACAATTTAGAATCGAGGGACTTTTTCGGTTTCGTGGAAAATGTGGAATCAGCAAACATTAAGATCTTGGAGATCTCAGTAAAAGGCCAAGTAAAAATGAATCGATTGCTGCAATTTCGTTCCCGGAAAGGCCGATTTATTGCAAAGCAATTTTATTCAATGTTATTTCCCTTGCATCTGGTAATTCTGGTCGAAAAGGAAACTGCTCTTGAAACAACCAACACCCCCAGACTTGTAATGACAAGTTACTGGGGCGGTACTTAAAATATCAATGACTTCATTGGAGCGTGCAGCGAGCACTAACATAAAACTCATGTGTTGTGTGAGAGACTTTCAGTTTAATTCCGCCACGCTGTCAGGTCACTACAGTTCAAACATGACGGATACACATCAACAAAAGACCTCTCTTTCTTTTTCGATTGACAATATTCTGAGAGATGACTTTCCAAAGCAGCGAAAGCCAAGAATCAGTGCTGTGAGTTTCCCAACCGTTCAGTCCAAGTTCGGTCGCTGGCCGAGCGCACCATTTTACCGATGTTTTGCAGTCCGTTATAATCCAGTCCTTGTGCGACTGCTGCCTAACATGCAAAGATTCGGGGAAAGGTTGCAGCAAGCTAACAGAGTAAGAGAACTGATCTTAGCGCACCAGACGGAAAAACGAGCAGAAGAAGGAAGCCTGAGAACTGACTACGATAAAGAGGAAGACTTCCAGGATAATGAAGGTAAGATGTTCTTGATATTTTTTTTTAATTGCAACTTTTTTTCTCCAACATGGTCTTTAAGCTCAAGCATCTCCGTCGGTAACAAGATGATCGCGTCAAGGAAAAACTAGCAAGTCCTTGATAAAGTTTATGCAAATGCCAATGCTATAAAATCAAAAATGAAAAGAAAATTAGGCCGAAACGAGGACAGAAGACTCGTTGGCTAGCGAATATTTTTGGCAAAGAGATTTTTCAGTTTGTATCGGTTGTTATACTTACTTATTATACTTGTTTATGCATTTTACTAGCGTTAACATAACTCGGTTTAATAAATGCATCATTGTATAGAACTTGAATAATTAATCATATCCTAACAAGTTAAGAGCCGTTAAATCTTTAAACGAAGTCAAATGACCACAGATGGGTTGGTGAATAATTCTTTCACTTCCTCGCCACAACAGCTTCAGTTTCTTCAAACAGCAGCCTTTTTAGAACAATACTGCAAGGCCTTGTTTAAATTAAATTTAAAAGTCAAACAAACTCTAATTTAACAATGATCAAATAATTACTGATGTAATGTACCTATATAGAAACATCATTAACGTGCGATGTTTAAGGTACCGTTAAAATCGCGTGATACATGCCTGTATTTCATGGTTGAAAGGGTAAAAAGCAAGGACTTATCTGGACTTATAAGTTAGTTTTCGCCTTTGTTCGAGCTTGCCCCAACAAGGAATACAGCAAAGCTAAGTCTCATGCAAGAACAGCTTAACATCATACGAATCACATGAAACTAAGAAGGGTATTGACTGATCTGCAGGTTCAAAATTACTTAGTTTGAAAAGTTACTTTATTTTTTTGTTTTGAGGGTTCCATGCCGAGAGAACAGCTTACAAGGATCATTTTAGCCAGCTGGAGCCTTCCCGTTGCGCTCTTTAGCGAATTTTTTTTCGTAATACTTTGCGAGTTTTGAATCATCTTCTGTGACTTTCAACCTGTTGCCGGCCGCGAAAACAGTATTAAACCCGCAGATTTACCACAATTCTTGCCTCTGTCAGATCTTACCATTCACCGCTATCGAACTTTAGGAATGCCATCTAAATCTCCCGTCGAAAAAAAAAACAGGATATTTAATGCTTCTTAACGCTACTGAGCAGAAATCTTAAACTTGAAAACAAAAGTTCTCTTTTGTCGTTTCCTTTACGTAAGAAAGGGCGCTAAAATTGCGGAAAAAGTGCAGAAAGTATGAGGATCAGAGATAGTGAATAATTTAATAGGCAAGAAAATGGTTGTCATGGATGTTTAATAAAAAAAGTGCGTAGAAAAGCTTGGTTTCCGTTGTGGTGGAATAAAAAAGAGAGAGTAAGTTAATTTAGTTTTTATACTTAGGTACTAGCGGAAGTATTTTTGTTGATAAAGCAATAATTCTCCAAATATCGACATTACACTTGAATAAGCGCAAAAAATATCTGTTGGAAATTGAAAATTGCGAAATTTACGAGCAAACAAACAAGGTACTTAGGTACTAACGAAAGTATTTTTGTTGACAAAGCAATTTTTCCCAAATATCAACATTACACTTGAATAAGTGCAAAAAATATCCGTTGGAAATTGAAAATTGCGAAATTTACGAGCAAACAAACTAAAATAGTCGCGTGTGGCCTCGCCTGATGTCCGTGTTTGAGTAAACTGATTTTGTGATAAAATTCTCAAATGATCTTGTTAATCCAACAGTCGAGCAATGACCCCAAATTTCTTTCTCCTTCGATGCCTCTTTTTCTCAACCCACAAACAAGACATATTTCTATTTTCCGGCTATAAAAGACTTCTTTGACTGTGCCGCTGTCCGGTCGCAAGTTGCGACCACGAACGACATACATCGAATCGAATCACGTAAAATTTATCAATTCACTTTCTGTGACTAAAATCGGCATTAAGTAAGCGGATCATCAGAGTGAAATCTTTATTCCAGGACTGTGGGTTTCATATGAAACTTATTTGCTTCGCTACGGTGTTTAATCCAGTAACATCGGGCTCAAAAGTGCAATGATCGGTCAGGCGATACTCAGTCGTCAATGTGCTAAATCACCAGGGGCACCCAGAGACTTTTTTCTCTAAAATAACTGTTCGAAAGAGCAAGTATTACCTAAAAATGTCTAAAGCTCGAGTAAGGTTAAAAAATTTCTAGATAATCATTGCGTTCGTCTAAGATATTCGGTTGTTTTCAACTAACTTTGTGTTTTCGCATTTTCAAAGATGTTGCGATAATTTTTTAACAAATATCTCCTGAAAATTTCGAAATAGAGACTATGTACGGCCACTGCATGTCCTCGAACTTTCGACCGGATTTCGTCAGGGTAGCTAAAAATTTCGAATGAGGCGAAAAAGCTAACTAACACTTTCAAGACGACCAAAGTTCCCCTCAGACAACCGAACAGAGAAGTAGTTTTTAAGGCAACTACAAATTAACCAAACACAGTGGCACCCAACGACTGTTTTCTGTAAAATATTTGTTCGGAGAAGCATGCAAATATTGCCCAGAATTTTCCATCACTTGAGAACGGCTAAAAATTTCTAGATAATCGTTCCGTTGTTGTGCAATTTTCGCCGCTTATCTAATAATCCCTACGATTTCCTGAAGTTTAAATTTTACATTTCACTTCCCAAGTTAGGCTATTTTTTTGTAGAAAAAAGGAAACCTTTAATTTTCGAATTCAAAAATGTGATGGAGAGAGGCATCAGAAAATGTCTCACTTTCGTAATACGTCCAATTGGATCAAAATTTTCGGAAAAATAATACTCAAGCCCTTATAATATCGAAAAGACTAAAGTTCCCCTAGAAAAAGTGTTTTCAATACATGTATTTAGGAGGAAACAGGCTTCTTAGGTTAAACATAGAGAAAACCATTTGGGACACTTCTGACGTATTTGGAAACATTCGCTCTATTTTGCCTCTAACTCACAGAAATAGTACGAAGCTACTGAGTTCCTCGTATAAAGCGATAAGATATACTTTATTTGATTTTGTTGTTTTGAATGCTTTACAAAAACGAAAGCATTTTTTTGCGCGAAACTAGAGTTTCGTGGGAGGAAAAAAAGAAAAGAATCTGAAAGCCACATCAGTCATTCTTCAAAAATTTCCAAATTCCTGCACCCACAATATAAAAAATCAGCGCCAAAATACAAGATTATTTCTAAACAGGAAATAATTTCCCAACAAAGTATGCCGTTTTGCTCAACTGTTCTTCATTTTGGCTCAAAGTAATCAAGATTGGCACTTTTTCTCAAAAAGGGTGTGAACACTGGTGTTTTTCTAGATTTTCTGGCAATGAACTCGTGATAACTGAATTACAAGAGCAAAATAGTAATAACTTCTACGGCAATTTGGCAAAAACTCGTAACTGCGCTTGATTTCACAGTTCTTAGTCTAAGGAATGCTCATAACTGTTGTGTCGTTGTCGCGAGGTAATTTTTGACCAAATTGACTGCATATCTTCGACAGTTTAAGGGCGGATGTTACGTTATCGACGAAAATATAAAAATGTTTGTTATTATACATGCAATGTCTTCCGCGTTTTTAGCGGCCTCATAAGAATTTTGTTTTTCTTTGTCAAGTTTTGAACAATGGCGAAAGATATGACTTTGTATTAGTTATTGTCTCGAGTAATAGTTTTTAACTTATTTCTAAGTTCTGGACGCGTCAATGAAGTCGATGAATACAAAATATCTTATACGTGATCTGGAGGAGTTTTGCAGCTATGTTTTAGGGATAAAAATAAATTGAACCGGCAGAGGTCTATTCAGACTGGCCACTAAATCATCAAAGCGCAACAATTCAAACGAAAGCAAGAGAAAGTCGGAAGACGGAAGTGGTCGGCTAGAAATAGGCGATGAAAGGTAGGAAATAAGGGTTTGCACTACTCGCTTCCTACAATTGTTTCTAAAAACCTCAAAATGGTCAAAAAATGAAGAAATTGTAATTTTAAGACAAAGTTCTCGCGAAAAGGCAACGAGATTCTACACGAGTTAGCGGAATTTTAAACTTACTCACGTTGAAAGCGCGCGACGAAACTCGCGTGATCTTTTTGAGTATCATGCGTAGGTCATCGCGAATAAGTATTTTAACTTTATGCCAGTCATCAAAAATTGAGGGTAATTGAAAATAATAAAAAAGGGTTGGCCAACCCCCTTACGAGTGTGTACAGGTCGCATCTCGTTAGCCGGCCCTCATCGACTTTGGAATCAAATCAGACACTTATTAAAATAAATTTGCTTTTGAAAACTTTCGTTGTTAACAAGAAGACACCAAAAAAGTCGCCGTCCAAATCATGGCGTTTTCGCATCGTCCAGTTTTCAACCGTCTTTTTTCTGCCAAGCCCTTTCGATGCAATTACATGGTTCAATGCTTTGTTAGAACGAAAGATTGGAAGAACGGCGATCATATTTTAAAAAGTTTAAAGTGTCACCAAGATTAGCATACTCAGTTATTGAACTTCTGAATGAAGTTTTTGTATGAACGGAAATTAAATTTTCTTGGAGTAGCCTAGCCTAGCGGAAAGTTGTTTCAAAAGTATATAAAAACTGCTTAAGTGTGACTTTGATCAAGAATGGATGCGAAGAAAGTCGACTGCGACAAACGACGTATCAGTGTTTTCAAACTTTGACGGATGTATGAGAAAAAGCGCTCCATAGCCATTGATTAAGACTTGTACTTCCACCTTGCAAAACACATTTACGACTTTCTCGGTGTTCAAAGGTTATTTCATGCATTAACGAACGTTTCTTCGTCTAGTGTTGTTTTATGCACATACTGTTACCTGACTTCCCATGTATAAAAAAGAAAAAATCGAAGAGAATAAAAGATACTCCATAAAGGTCTAAAAAAAAATTCCTTTGAAACTCTTTCACGTGCCTCAGTACTATGATAAGTTCGATAGGAAACGTAGTTTATTCCGGGCATCATAACTTTGATATTGTTCTTGTTTTCAACATTTTCCGGCAACCATCTTCAGGGAACAATTTCGAAAAATTAAAAATCATTAACCTCTTTAAAGTGAAAGCAAGTGAAATTTAAGGGGTGGCACATTATGTTATTCTGTTTCAGTTTTGTTCTTAACACGAGCTGCACGTGTCGTGCATCAACTTCTCGACAATTTGTGTTCGAACATAACATTGTCACAAACGTTGGGGAATACATAAAAATACAGTTTAGAGTTTGTGGTCGTAGGGTTCTCAAGCCTGCCTTCCATTTGTTTACATTTTAACTATCAGTCACCGAAACTTTGTTGCCTGCAGTACTCTGAATTCCGGCCATTGTGTCATTGTAACAAAAAAGACTGGCATAATAACACTGATGAGCGAGGCTGTTCCTGCACATTGGCCTTTGACTCACGATAGTCGAATATTGAAGAACATATTTATTAAAACGCGAAATTTCTTTTTGTACCATTTTACGAAATAAAATTACTTAGTATTATTAAGTTTTAACAAAGGAGTTGTATTTTAATGGTAACACCATAGAATTTCAACCACACGTTTGAAGGGTAAGTTAGAGTCAGACGAATGATTTCTCGATCACTTGATTTTTGAGTGAATGGTATTTGTCGAAGGGGGCCAATCGAGGCTGAAATCTGTTTAGGCAATAATATGATTCATTGATACTTGTCCACGTTCATTGTACAGTATTGAAATGACAATGTTTCATATTGCAAGGCCGTTCGGTCGAAATAATAAAAAAAAAAACAGCACGAAAACACATCGGTTTCAGAGCGTAACACTATCATAAATATTATCGTATAGCTTGTTTATCAAAAATAATCAAGGCGCAGCTTCTAACAACCTCTTTTCACCTCTCAGATGAAATAGAAGAAGATAAAGCAAAACAACATCCACAGCAGGACAAGTGCATAAAGGAAAAAAGCCTACAAAGAAAGCGACGAATTCGCAGCCATTTTACACAGCGTCAACTTCAATATCTGGAGAAAATATTTTCCCGCCAACAGTATCTGACACGTGACGAGAGAACCCTGTTAGCGAGGGGACTGGAAATGACTGAGCTTCAAATCAGAAACTGGTTTCAAAACAAAAGATATCAGAAAAAACATCGCGCAATTTCAAATGACAGTAAAGCAGACAAAGAGGACCAACCAGAAAAACCGGATACTTCAATGGATGGAAATGCCGATGTTTAATTTGTACCAGCAAGAAATTGAAAAGATAATTATTTTATTTATAAATATAAAGAATTCTAAGAATTCAAGGTGTTACGCTTGTGGTAGAGCCGTGTTATAGGGAAAAAGAAAAAGCGAGCAACTTAAATAAGAATGGGACTATGCATGGCGATATTCGCCGATGGTGTGTCGGTTGCTATGGTACTATAAGCAATCCTATAGTCTGACCCTTGAAGCGAAGGAAAGAAAACGCTAAATAAGAGAATCAACGTAAAAATAAAACGATGTGTGTTGACTTAAAAAGAGAAAACTAAAAACAAAGAAACGTGGAAGAATTGAAAAATGAATTTTATTATATTTTCTAAGAGGTTAAGAGTAAACATCCAGAACGCGTGCAACTATACTTTGACCTCCTCGGTATTTTTCACCAACATTATTTATATTGTATTATTTATGGGGTATACATGATTTCAAACGAGATAATATAACGATGTTCGCATATTTAACAATAGACGACATGATTGTACTTTAAAGTGCTCTAGAAATATTGTTTTATATAGCTTATAAAGCGTTTCAGTGTATTGTTGTCTACATTATAACTGACTGTTAACAGTGTTTTTAGGTTTTGGAAAAATAGAGCGAGGTGCAAAACAATCAGTGTGTCTCCCCCCACGAGTTGTCTTCTTTCTTTTTGCTAAACTCGCACTGTCACCGAACATTGCTACTTGCAGAGATGTAGCTGAACCCAACGGAAGTATATTTTATCAATATATGATTTCCCAAGAGTGGCCTAAATTTGGCAAAGGTTACTTTTATTAGAACATCTAAACGACTGTTTAAAAGTGTTTTTGGTTGAGGACATGTATCAACAAACGAAGTGGACTAAGACTTCTCAAACTCATTAATAATTTATAAAGAAAATACAAAAGAAATTTAAAATATTTGATGAGTGTTTGGAAGTCAGATGAAAAACCTGGTCATATTTGCATCCTTAATTTCTCCTTCTAAAATCATTCTGTTTGAGAAGTAATATCAAGCATTCGACACAGTGTTTCATCACCAGATGAATCATCTCGAAGTTCGTCAAAAATATTCCGCTGCCCTTCGTACTTTCAACTCTATTCTCAGTGTTTCATCTGGTGATGAAACACTGTGTCTCATAGTTGATATATTACTTGAATGACGTTTCCAAGCCAGTTTTCCCGTTATCTTAATTGGAAAAAACGATAAAAAAAATCTTTGATCAAGGTTTGCACACACTTTAGAAAATGAATTCATCACTGTCATGACTAAATTCTTGTTCAAAGACCATTTTGTGCATTATTTTACGCAGTCGCAGTTTACACAAAAACTCGGCAGAAATCTGGTGATATATATACTGCCCCTTAAAAAGGACAACACAATAATACAGCTGTTAATACAGTTACAGTAAACAAAATTATTTATAATGTCATTGGTTTGAAATCATCGGCTCTTACTTTCTTATGCGTCTTTCTTAAAACGCCGGCTTAACCCACAAGTCGCAGCATGGAAAAAAAATTCAAATACTGATCATGTTCAAGACAATACTATACCGTAGAGAAACAAAGTTTTCGAAACAATCTCTTTAAATTAGAAATGTCCTCAAATCCCAACTCTTTTCTCGATTATATAAGATTAAACTGTACTGACGTTGTTCTGCTTTTGAAGTAACTGCGAAACATGAGGTTTTGAATGAGGACGGGAGCTAGGATGCCACAGAGCGAATGACAAGAAAGCCTTTTCATTTTCTTCCATAGTACGACTCAAGTGCAAACTGAGTGCGCCCTTCAAATGAAAGCCATACTGAGCTCAAACAGCCCTTTTGATTGGTATTGTGTGACAGCGCGGCTATACCAAGATAGAGTAGCTTTAACTCCTGTTTTCCCAGGTCTGTGGAGGAAATCCAAGGATGTATTTCATGCCGCCGAGTATTACTGATGTTGTACTGGGTGGTTTTGACTTGGTTACACTTTCTAAAATGTGACTACTCAAATGAAAGCTACTGAGCAGTACTTTCCTGTGGTACTGTTTATTAAGCTGTGCAAGGTAGTTCTAACTTTTGAGTCTGTGGATGAAATCCTAAAGTGTCACCATTCAAATGAAAGCTACTGAGCAGTACTTTCCTGTGGTACTGTTTATTATGCTGTGCAAGGCGGTTCTAACTTTTGAGTCTGTGGATGAAATCCTAAAGTGCGACCATTCAAATGAAAGCTACTGAGCAGTACTTTCCTGTGGTTCTGTTTATTATGCTGTGCAAGGTGGTTCTAACTTTTGAGTCTGTGGATGAAATCCTAAAGTGTGACCATTCAAATGAAAGCTACTGAGCAGTACTTTCCTCTGTTACTGTTTATTATGCTGTACAAGGTGGTTATAACTTTGGAATCTGTGGATAAAATCCTGAAGTGTGACCGTTCAAATGAAAGCTTCCAGGCAGTACTTTCCTGTGGTACTGTTTGTTATGCTGTACAAGGTGGTTCTAACTTTTGAGTCTGTGGATGAAATCCTTAAGTGTGACTGAAAGCTACTGAGCAGTACTTTCCTGTGGCTGTGACCATTCAAATGTTTCTAGTCTGTGGGTATGACAACCGGTATGATCATTAATTATATGTAGCATCTGACTGTTCAAAAGAGTTAAAGCTACCAAAGAGCGCTTTCTATCCGCCCTATCAATATTTTACAAAAATAAAACTTTCTTTGCAATTTTGAACTTGGCTCGGACCCAAGAAGTTAAATTCAGATGTTTAAGTACTTAGATGTACTTCAGGCTTCTACAGTGGGGCCAGGGTCAAAGCAATTCACTTACTCTACTGATATATCTGCCCATTTTTTGCCACTTTTGGCTGTCTTACCGTCGTATACCACTATTCAAATGAAACATCTTCATGTTCTTTCTGAATGGAGTTACAAAAACTAAGACACATTAGGGCCGTTTAAACCAGGAAAAATAAAATGCGTCTTACATAGGACGCGTCCCAAATAAGACTCAAACTATCCCGTATAAACGGCACATTTCGTTCAAAATTTAGCTAAGACGCGTCTCATCTAAGAACAGCCCCTAACACCTGTTCTTCGATAAGATGCGTCTTTGCTGAGTCGCGTCTTAATGGGCCGTTTAAACGGGAAAGTTTGCGTCTTATTTAGGACGCGTCTAATGAACGACGCGTCTTATTTTTCCTCGTATAAATGGCCCTATTGTTTTTATTTTTATTTTTTTAAATTTTCCTCTTTAAACCCCACTAAGCCGGAGATTAAAAGAATGTTTATGACTGTCAATAAGTACCAGCGGAATCAACTGAGTATGAAGAAACCTAAGCTGATATATGTAAACTGAACTTTTAAAATGGAAAACACTTGGGCTCTTACATATACCGAGATCGATCTCAGTTTCATGAGGGGACCTCTATTTCAAGCAATTTCTTCATATCGGCAAAACATATATTGTATTTGACACTCAGAAGTGCCAATTTTTCTCTTAGGCAATAAGAAAAACAGTTGGCGCATGCTATTTTTGTTAAGAGCTTTTGAGGAAAATGATGAACGTTTAATCGGTACTGCTCTCAGTCTTTCACTTAGAAGTCGTACTCGACAAAGAACTACATAATACTAATACTAATTAAAACCAATGAGTTATTTTGTTTTCCTTGATTAAAAATCGGCAGATTTTTGTGGAGGTATTTTGCCTGATACTGAAAAGCATCCTTTTTTGAAGGTCACCCTAGGTTCACGCTGATGTTGGATTAAATAGCTAGGGTGTTTTTGGACTAACCTGGCGCCATCTCAAAGTATCACGAGATTACTAAGGCCCAGGTTTAAAACTTTACATAATCGAACTGTGAAAATAAGGAGTCATTTTCTTAGATATAGCAAGATCGACAATAAGGTGACATTTCTCAAAAGAAAAGACTACCAGAACAAAATCTCAGTGGTTGTCTCTCGTTTTGCTTCAAAATACAAGAGTTTCGTCATCTTGATTGTAAACTGTACATGTCAAGGGCCTTTCTCTCTAGTTTTAACGTTAATAAGACAATATCTACTGGGAACAATTCTAGACTAATCTAGGTTCAAAATAGTTAGCGGTATTTCCATTAACTGTTTAGGCCTTGCAAAATCGCTGAGTAACTGTTTAATGGGGACCGGTGCGTATAAAGTAGAACGGCTGTTAAGCAGACTGCTTCACCCAGTGTTTTTTCGAGTGCAGGGTTATGCGGGAAGGAAAAAAAAAGCTTGGTAAAGCGGTAAAACTTCCTTTCTTCGGTATAAACTTCCTGTTAGTTTGTTACATATCAGTAGGCCCAAGAAAACCCAAAGAAATTAAATGTATTAGCCTTCACTGAACGTGAACTCTTTTAGCTGATAGTACGTAAGTACTTATAGATATATAAAAAGCATCTTTAGTCTATTTCAAGCCTGTTTCCCGAGAGCTCTTAATGTACAGTCAAAACTAATTTCAAAGTAATCTCGTCCTAAATCCTTTTTTTTTTGGCATGTTAGTCGTAAAATTCAATTAGTTTTTCGCTTATGGTGCTGTTTCACTAATTGTAGCGGTGTACAAGCTGATCGTGTAATGATCTTTAGACAACGAATCTCAAGTGCGTCACTCAAAATGAAAGCTATTGAGCAATAATTTCCTGTAGTACTTTCGCCAGTTCTAGTTAGGGGGTTCTAACTTCGATGAAATCTCACCTAACTGAGTCAGTTATGTTTTAAATAAATTAAAGCTTTAAAGACGCCTTTTAACGATCGCGAGTCCGTTTTCCATGCTACTGATGTAAATGCCAACACGTGACATCGGTACATGTTCGTTCCCCTCAGCTCGGCCAAGGAAAGCTGGACTTACCAAGTTTCCCTAGTTACACGTCGAGAACGTTTCCGCTTTCATTCACTCTCTAAACCCAGCAACTGCACATATTCTTACTTTCATTACGTGCAGCCTTTCTCTCATAATTAATCTAGGCTTTGTTTACTCATTATTGGCTTGGTTAAAATTCCCCTCCGAGGAATTTTTCCGCTTTCACTAACGAAACGTCTTCAAACCATAAATTGCATTTGTTTCCCCTCGAGCGATTAACCTTCATGGGAATTCAGGGAAATGCCGTGCAACTTCGTTGTTGAACGTGTGATCTACGAGGACTTCCTTCAACGAATTTTTACTCATTGTTCCAGGATAGTTATTTTTACGACTTCCCACATCCATGGATGGAATTCACGCTGGGCGGGACTCTGACCGCGGGTTTGTTCTCGAACAAAAGGTCGAACTGAACCACAGAACATCCAACTGAATCATAATTTTAGAAAATCCTGCTTTTAATAAGGTTATTTTAATATTTTAAATATTTCTTAATATTGTTATAACATTTTTCCTTCTTGAAAACTGTAAGGTTGCTTCAAAAACTTAGTAGACTGTGGCCGGGACTGTTTACATGGCAAAGATCCTAGTACATAGGAAGACCTTATTCAGAAGGGAAAAATAAGCGGGTTTCAATTTAAGCGCCAAATGCATTTAGCGCACAAATATTATTTTAACGTGGACACTGCACGTCTCCCACTGCATGCAGGGTCGCCCATTCCACTGGCATCCGGGCTACGTGAAGGACTAGCGGTTTGATGGTAACTCAGTAGCTGT